CCCCCCCCCCCCCCCCCCCCCCATCATTCCTTTCTGTTGGGGCAAGTATAATTTTTCATGGTGGATCTGAAGTTCATGGTTTCAGAGAGTTAGTGGTCAGAAAGTACTATTATATCACCTAATCTGATGACCTGACAGCCAGAGAATTGTTCATCCTTTCTACAGGCCTTTCACCCTTTTTTTCTTTCACAGTAGCTATATTTTCCTCTTTTGACTGAATTTCATCCTTCTGTCTCTTCAGCATTCCTGTGTGCCTCCTTAAACAAATCCTGTGCACTTGGTATTATCTTAAGATATTTGCTGACATCTTGTCATACTTCTTCTGGCCTCCCTAATCATCATTTAGGGAGCGTATTGACAAGTCCTGGTACTACCACTTTTATGAGGAAAGATTGTCAATCTTTCTGAGACCTTTAACTGTATTTGTTGCTTTTCTCAGCATTACAATGGCCAATGGCTCCTTCTTTACTTAAGCAAAGAGACACCACAGGTCTTTTTTATGAAGCCATTAGCAAACACTATGAGTCTGCTCCCTTTATGTGATTGAGTCTTTGGCCTCAAACCTACCCTGTCATGTTAGCATGATACTATGATTTGAGATCTGTGGATGAAGAACTTGGGGCTAAGTAATAAATAGTTGTTGGGATGGACAAACTCAAATAATTTTATTTACAGCAGCAGCCTTTTCCTTCTGCATGGTTGGAAAGTTTACTGACAATTCCACTTGAGGAAATCATCTTTTGTTATTTTGCACGTTTTTGCCTTTTGCAAATGGTGTCTAAACTGTGTGTCACTTTGTTTTCATGTCTCCTCTTCTGCTCATGGCTACACTTCCTTTAATAACTGAGGAACATGTTTTCTCTTCTCTTTGTTCTTCAATACGACCTCCAACATTAAGCATCTCTAGATTTATCAGTTTTTCTAAATAAACTATTGAAAAAGCAATAAGGATATTGAGAGAAAGGGGTGTTTCAGCATTTATTAGCTGAGTTATAAGCAAAAAGAATGACTGCATTTTGGTTGGACACATTCATTAACAAGAGCTCTTTAATCTAGCAGATTAAGGCATGGCAAGAGTCAGTGACTAGGAATTGCAGCTTGCTTAATTCAAAATGGTACACAGTGAGGGTAATTAAGCATTTGGACTTGTAGATGGATTATGTAGTAGATTCTCTTCTATTGCTGGCACTTTAAAAATAAAGATTGGGCTATTTTTCTGAAAGGCACATGTTTTTATTCAACCATGAGAAAGCTGGTGTGATAAAGAATACAGGAAGCCCTCCTGGTGAAAGTCAGAGGTGGTCAGACTTTTCAAAAGGTGGGCCAAACCTTAACATCAGAAGTGAGATGACAGCCACACAGAAAAGCACTGCTGGAGCTCCACCTGCACAGTGAGCTCTGGGAGTTCACCAGTTGCCTTCACAGGCTCTGGCTAGAGCCACCACTTTTGCTTGGCTTTGTGACCCAGGGGGTGAATACTGCTTTTTTCCCTTCCTGCTGAATTCAGGGGAAAAGAGGGGGTGAGTGGTGACAGTATTTGGTGCCTGGGCTCCGAAGCCAGGCCAAAGCAGAGGTTTCAGCCAGTACCCACGTTAACATGCTGGTGAACTCAGAGAGCTCACCACAGAAGTGCTGGCGTGGCAAGCAACAGTTCAGCTGGGGGGGTGCAAAAATAGGAAGTGCTGCCCTAGGTATCACATGGATGCCCCAGGTGCACAGCTGCCCAGCTAAATCTCTGTTGACAGGAGCCTTGCTGACATGCTGGTGAGCTCATGCTGGTGGCAGGCCATTCCCATGATTTTCAAAGGCTGCATCCATCCCGCAGTCTGTAGGTTGAGCACAGCTGGACTAGAAGATTGGAATGTTTGTTTCTGGCCTTCAAATGTATAAATCTGTACAATTATGCAATCATGAAAAAGACTGTTTTAACATTTGCTTTTTCTCTCGTGAGCCATCTGTGTTCTGCTCAGTACTATTGTGACAACAGTATTGCATCAACATAAAATGAAAGCTCAAGTGCGGTTGGCAGTACTTGCAGTGCAATACCCAAGTCTTACAGCAACTTGAGGGTCATGTCTTCAGCCAAAAATGCACTTCAGAAATTAATGTGGTGGTTTACCTGTGGCAAGTCACGGTGTTTTGGGCATAGTGATGTTTTTGGCATAGTGCCTATAGTTGTATGAGAAGACTGTTCATGAAGGTGTTAAGAATAGATTAGGCCAGAGGTTGTCAACCAGGGGTACATGAGAAGGCCCTAGCGGGTACACGTGGGTGGGGGTGGAGCGCCGCCATGCAGCATCCTGTGCTGCCACACAGGCTCAGCAGCCAGGGGTACGCTGCTCTGCATCCGGCTGCCAGGTACAATGATGCAAAAAGATTGAAAAACCGTGAGTTTGGCTGTCACTTGTCTAGGATGGCTTAGATAGGGGTGATCCTACCTTGAGCAGAAGGTTGGACCAGATGACCTTTTGAGGTCTCTTCCATCCTTACTTTTCTGTGCTATGAAGTAAAAGGTCCGGGTCTCATCTTAGCACTAGATTGCTTTGTTTGTGAATGCTATGCCTTTTGAAATAATTCATCACGAAAAGGGCAGTTTGTAGTGATTTTCTGTGGTGTTCAAAATAAGCTGTTGACAGACTGTGTACATCTTGAGTAATTTTATTTATTTTACTCATCATGCAATTGTTCTGGGAGTTGCAAGTGGGGGTTTCAGATACTCTTACATTGATGCATCCATGAATGGAGTAAGGTAACTGCCACATTTGATCTCATTCTTACAGATGTTCATAACTTCAACTCTAATACAGTACATTTAATTGCATGAGAGAGAGAAATGGAAAACTTTCATGAAAGAAGAATCACTTTTCTGGATAATAGCTGGTTCTCTGTCACATTTTATTTGAAAATGCTGTTGATGAAGTTTTTGTTTTGTTAAGTACACTGAGCAAGGTTTCCAAACAGCATCATGTCAGCTTTTACACAGTCACTTTTAATACATTATTACAGAGGTCTGGAATCAGACATGACAATGCTAATCTTGTTTCTCTCTTTTGATTGTCTCCTGTTACAATAAAAGCCAGTTGTTCGTCTAGCCAGGCATTTTGTTTATCTCAGAGTGATTGGTCCCAAAACAAGTCCTCTGAGTTAAGTCAAAATGGGCATGTTTACACATGCACTTAAGCGTGACTAAATTTAATGTGCATTAAGCTAATGTGCATTAAGGGATTTTGGCACGTGTCTATATGTGCAGATTCTTGGCAGTAAAGTTAGTCCCAAGTCCCTAGACTTAGCACTAAAATTAGTCCCAAGTCCCTGCAGCCCTGCCATGTGCCCCTGTGGCCACTGGCGGGGAGCTGCAGCCTCTGGCCACATGGCTGCCAGCACTTGACAGCCATGTTGAAGCCAGAGTCAGCTACCACCACCTAGCAGCTATCTGGGAAACTCTGATCCCTGGCCAGCCCCTTCCCTGCCCAGGAGCCATGTGCCTAGGGTAGAGGCAGCATGTGCCAGCTCCCTCCTTGCTCAGTCTGCCTCCCCGGCTAGGGCTGCTCCAGCACCTGCCCCTCCGTGCAGCACCCACTGCCCTGCTGCTCTAGCTCAGTCCCTGCTAGTGATGACCAGCACCCCACATTCCTGCTGCCCATGGTGCTGGCTCTGCTGGCCCCAGCACATGGGTGAAACAAACCTTTATTCTTCCCACAGCCCCCCATCTCTCCCCACTCCCCCTTCAACAAATAGTGCCCCTCCACCACCCTCCCCACCCACCAACAATAAAAAACTCACTTACAAGTGGGAAACTATATACAAGGGGAAAACTATTTACAATATTTTGGGTCTTCAAGCCCAGAGTGGGGGAACTGGGAGGTGGGGAGGAGGGCTAAGAGGCAGGTGCCCAGCATGAACTAATCGCACCTAAATTTGATACCTAATGCATATTAAGGATGTGCACATCTAGAAGCTTGTCTGTAATGCGCATTAACTTACATTAATGCACATTAACGTGTCTCATGTAGATGTGCCCAATGTCTTAAAAGACATGTGCGTACAACTCACCCCCCCCAGTGTAACCTTATTTTATTATCCAAGCAATGTTTATTTCTAAATACAGCTCATCTATTTCACAAAGTCTGTTAATGAGCTGTTACACTTAAAAAACAGGATAATGCATTTTCTTCCACACTGTGGAAACTTTCCCATATTCCATTCTTTGTAGGTTTTTTCTGCGGTTGTGAGCTCCTCACACATATTAGTGAGTATATATTTGTCTAAGGTCACATGGGAAGTCTAAGGAAAAACAGGATTAGACTCCAAATGCCTTGATTTTATTTCCCTTAATGTAGTGAGTTAAATAGCAAACTACATTTTGGTTTCTTTAGTATTTCCTCTATTTATACCACTCTTTTAATTAAAAATTCTGAGCTCTGAAACTGGCATATGAATAACTTTTAACCTTAATTTGTCTCTTCCATGAATCCTATGAAAGGGTTTGAATGTTTACTCCAAGTGTTTTGTTAACTTCAAATCATATTGTCTCAAAAACAAAACCATGAAACGTTAACTCTAGAATGCTTAAAACTGATCTGGTTTTACTCAGTCTAGTCAGTTTGCTCCTCCAAGTAGATAAAATTGTAAGCTTAAAGGTCACAACTGAAGAATTTGATAACTAACATATGAGTTTCATACATACATAGTATATATGTTTATATTGACATACCTGAATCCACTTTCACTGACTTAAGATTTTTTTTTTCAGTTGTGAAAAGGTGGCCATAATATTTGAGCTCTAACCATCTACTTAATAATTTGGTCTATCTGCTTCTATTATTGTAATGTGGCAGGACAAAGATGCTGCATTTCCTTTCCTGCATATCACCTAATAAAATGACGCAATAAGATATGACTAAACTTTTTGTTGAATCTTGCTTACTACACTACAGACATAACTGGAGGCAGTTGGAAGTTTCCTCATGTTACTTTAGTGCCTTATGTTATGGCACACTTGTTGCTCTACATTAGGCATGTCAAACTTATATCCTACTGAGCTACTGGCAGGTCAGGGAATGTGGGGGCGTTCCTAAGAGGCATGGAATCGGGGCCCCCACAGGACATGGCTCTCAATGGCAAATAGGCAGATCAGAGCTGTCTTAACTCATCCCCACTAACCCTGTGACCACTTGTCACGTGGCTGCTTGCTCTACTGTTTCTGCTATGGCACGTGGCTGATAGCCCTGGTGCTTCTGCCGCTGCCACTGTCTCCACCATTGCTGGAGCTGGCCATCTGAATAAAGTGTGCAAGCAGCCTCATATACCCAGGACTCAGGGCCTGGGGTGAGTTTGATATCTGTGATCTACATTATTAACAGTGGATGTGTCTACACATGCAGTTAATCCAAAGCAATAAACTCCAGAGCAGTTTGAGCTGGAGTAAACTACTCCCAGGTTCAGCATCTACATGTGTGCCCAGGACAGCAGCAATTTGAGCCAGGATAGAGCAGTTTACACCAGGGCTGCTCAGTTCCGGGCTGTGGGTGGCAGTGACGGGCAGTGTCAGGGCTGGCTGGTGCTGAAAGTGCAGAGCTGTGTGGCTAGATGGCAGGCAGGAGGCTGGGTTGACCAGGCACAATTTATGCCTGTGGTCATCACCTACATGTGTGTTTAAGCACAGTAAATTACTCCAGCATAACATAGTACTGTCCCCAACAGTGTAAATTAATTTATTGTGAGCTAATACTGTTGCATGTGTAGACAGTGACACTTTACTCCACAGCTAATTAGTCTACTTTGCACTAAAGTATGTGTGTAGATGCAGCCAGTGTGAAGATATGGTACTTCAGTATTTTCTTAGCAATGTTTGTACTGTATTCTTCCACCCAATCCCCTCTGCCTGTGGATTTGTCTTTCTCAAAACCAATATTATGTCGCCCATATTGTTAAGATCTTATAATGCTGATGCTTTTAATCCTGAGGATATCTTTTGTTTGTTTAACAATTCAGTTTGGCTGCTTCCTGTCTTCCAAAACAATCCACATATGGCCACATTCTGCTAGAAATGTTGCTAAATTGAATATTTATAATTCATAGAGATGTATATCTTCCATAATTCTTTGCTTGGTTGAGATCATTTTAGACTTTAATCTTTGCCAAAAAAAGGATGCCAGTATTCCATAAAGTCAACACAGCCAGTTAACTATCAGGGTAGTTATTTTTACTGATATAAAAATCAAAGCACTTTCTCTTTGCCTTAGTCCAGCCCAACTTGACTTTGAGTTTATTTACAGTTGAAACTTAATTCTTTCAGTTCTTGCTTATTACTGTTTATATATGCAGAGTCGATTAAATCTTCGCAGGTTTCTCAAAGTTGCCCAATAAGTAACTGAACTAACATTCAGTTTTCAGTTTGGAAAATCAGGTACAGGTGCAAGCAGGATGCAGGCTAGGAAGCAGAGGGTTTGCTGCCTCATCACTGTGATAGCATGGGGGTGGGACTGGCTCTGCTTCGCTGGAGCAGACAGTGGGGTTAAGGCTAGCCTGCCTGCCCTGTGAAGGGGGGTTTGCAGGGCAGGTGCAAAGAATCCTGGGACACTTGGGGACTGTTAACATGAGTTGGGAGGGGATCTGGGACAGAAGTTTGATAGACTGATTTAACCTAAATCAGTTAAGTTTGATACCACCTTAATACACATCTATCTTAAACTGCTTTCAAATGTTTTGAAACCGGTTTATGTGCACTGAACTTCTGTTCTGTTACAGGTATAATTTCTGTCCCTAGTGCAAATGTTCACTTAGTGAGAGACAAATGACAAAACACATTCACTCATCTATGTATTTAACCCAGAAGAATGAGTTAAAATTCATTTTAAAACCCTTTTTATGGCCACTGGCCTTTTCCCTGCATTCGTGTTACTGTTCCAACTAATCTTTATGAAACTGCTTTTAAGAATGTGTCGCCTTCTCCCTATATAGGATCAACTTCTGCGACTGTTGGAGACAGGATGCTGGGCCGGATGGACCACTGGTCTGATGCAACATGACACTTGTTATGTTCTTACCTCTTCTCCCCCCACTTCCATTCCCCAGATGTGCCATCAGCTGTGGCACCATAAAGCCCTGTCTCTATAGTTGGCGCTCTGGCCAAGCATAGGTCAACACTCATTGGCGCTTGTTCAGTGATTATATTAGTTCTGGCTTGTTGTATATGAAGTGCAATGTGACTGATTAGTTCCTGAAAGCAGATGTTTGGTCCTTTGGGATGCTATTATATTGTAATAACCATTATGTTAGATACCTAATGCTGCTGAACTCATTTCCCTGTTTTACTTTCAATTTTGCATGTGGTTTTGTTTGTTGTTCCATCCTGTTGTGATTTAAGCTGGGGGGGTTTCTTTGTTTTAAAGCTTTCCCCAGATTTTCTTTTGAAGGCATAAGGGTCATATTTAATCTGCAGGTACTCGAGGTTGTGAAAAATACAACAAAGTTGGCTGTAGAATAATTGCTTTGCAAGCCTGGTATGCTACTACTTTTAAAATTGCCAGCAAAAAGTATTGCCACAGGCAATGCAGCCTTTGATTTCTGAGGAGAAGGCATAAATAGAGTGGTTGTTTGTATTTCAGCTCAAGTTTGTCTTCATTCACTGCAAGGCACTTTAGTGTGCCTCTGGCATAAAACAGAAGGACTTAAAACTGGGTGCATGACTAGTTACCATCCTATACTTTTTTGTGTGTTATCTTGATATGCTTTCTATTGAACTGGTTAAGAAAGAATGCAATGAGGAAGAAATAGTTGACATGAATGGAGAAGGTAGGCTGTAGTCCTGCTTAATGAAATAAAATAAAATCAGGTAGAACAGCTAGGTTAAAGGGCATGATGTGTAAATTGTATCTGCTGTCACTTTCTTTTTCTTGTCCTGATGGAGGATGTGAAAGCCAAAGTGAAATAACTACATGCAATTGTTTTTTTTTAAGGCTGTTCTTTATTCTTTGTTTAATACATCTAATGATTTGGCTTTGTTCCAGTTTTATTCACATCACTAAAGAAAGGAAGGCTGAAGTAATGGGTCTTCATCTGTGTGCCTTTTTCCTCTGCTCTGTGAATAATGCAAATAATACAAATGCATCCCTTTTTAATACCATTTTTTAGTGATTCTTGCATATGAAATTAAAATGTTTTAAAAAATAGCTATATGTGGAATCTATTTTGCTGCTCACAGGACAGCTGAAAACAATGAGCATTAAAATATATTATTGATTTTAAACTAAACTAGCAGTTTTACATATCAAAATAATGGTTATAACTGAGGTTTGGATAGAAAAATAAGGCGCTGCAGTCTGAAAATATATATTTTAATGAATTTTTTCACCTGCTGGGTTGGCCCCCAATATAACACTTGCATAGTGTGTTTTATGCCAATGAAACAGGAAAAAGCAGTATAGTACAGAAACCTAAGTAGTCAGATCCTGGATCCCTTGAAATCTGTAGGAGTATTTCTTTGACTGCAGTTAGACCAGGGCTTTCATTGCATCTGTCCAGATATCAGCCAATTAGATCTTCCATTAACACAAAATTAAATTAAAGAAACTGAGGCATTTCGTAGTCACTATGCAGTAGAAGGTAGTTTTAATCTTAGATTTTGATAAATATTGGATCCTTCGTTCGAGGTTAATTTCACTGTTTCTCCAAACCATGTTTTCCTACTGTTGTTGATCACCTGACATCATATGACGAGACCTGTGGCACTAAAATTGTTGTCTTGCAGTGATGTCACCCAGAAGTAGAAATGTCTCTGTGAATCGTATTCAAAACATTTTAGTTAGGAACATCACAATTTTCAGCAAGCATAGAGCTATATTGCAAACTCAGTATTAAAGCATTGCCTAGAGGCATCTTCCAGAAGCCTGTGCTTTGTGTGCTGATTGCACAGTATCGGTATTACCCAGTCTAGTTTCTCTAGAAACAACAGACAAGCAGATCCATGATCCTTTCACCGTAGCGGCTGTAGAGGATGATTGGAGTCTTAAGAATCAGCAGGCGAGCCAGGAGGTGAATTTCACTCCAAGATACTGCCCAAACTTGGCTGCCATTTAGGCCTTATTTTGACATCTTAAATAACAATGTAAAGAATAAAATATTCCAAGACATGTATCAGTGCTAAATATTCCTCAAAATACCAGTTGTTTGTGTTACTTTGTGTTCTAACTGACACTTTCTATTGTTTGGAATAATATACAACTGATTGCAAAGGCTAAAAACATTAAATAATCATCATACCCCTTTATTTGTGTAACACATGTGCAAAATGTATATAGCATTTTGTACTGCTACTTTTACGTTGCTGTAAGTCATTATTTGATTTTCAGTATGACCGCGTTTAATATGTGTTTGCTCTTCTGTGTCTTGTCTGTTTCTTAATCTGAAATAAAACACGCCAGCACATAGGGAAGCTCCTTTGTGTAGACCTTTTTTCTGGAACACCTCTACTCTGTACTGGAAACATGAAAACTGGTTTCAGTCTCATAGCAGGCGAGGGGATTGCACCCCTAGCCAGATTGGCTAATTTAGGCAGTGTTCTCCTTCAAATTAATTGTTTAAGAATGGCTGGAAACCTGGGGCACATATACAAATGCCAGACATCTCTGGCATTTTCGGGTATTATTTATACCCGAAAGCCTTTGGGTATGTATACCCAAAAGCTTGCAAAGAAGAATTTTTCCAACTATTTGAGTTGGTCTAATACAAGGTATCAGATTTACCCAAAGAACCTTGTCTGGACATCTCCGATGCATGCGAATTAGCACGTATCGAAGCAGACTCAATTAACCATGTTAATTAATGCACTCCATCAGCCTCTGTGTTGCATCTATTTGGTGTTTGCATTTCAAAATGGTGGCAGGGACACTTGGACTAAAGCTCGTCAAACAAGTTTTAGGTCAAGCACTCCCACCACCATTTTGAAGTGTGGGATGCTGAATACACATGACAGCGTGGGCGCTTTAGTTAAAGTGGCTCTTGGAGCCGCTCTAATTAAAGTGCCCACCCTTCTACCCCCGAGCATGTGTATAGATGTTTCTGGCAGCTCCTGATTGGATACTTGGGGTGATGTCACACTAGGTACATAGGAAATGGGAGCTGGGGGAAACCCCAGAGAGGGCCTGAGCTGGAGGAGCCAACATGAAGGGGGACTTCAGGTAAAGGGGAGAGAGAGAGAGTCTCTGTGCCTGGGACTCCTCCTCTACCACTTTTGTTACCTCCCTTTTCTTTCCCTTCCTGGGTTTTGAGTGGTATAATACTGTGGGGTATTGAAACCTAGAGGAAACCACCAGGATTAGAGCCTGCTTAAGTTTTGGGTCAGGGTGGAGCTAGTCCTTTTGTTGTTGTTGCTGTTTTTATCTCAGCTGAGCCCCACTGTATGTTCAGGCCAGGCCAAGATAGGCCTGGCTCCCCTTCTTTTTTGTGAGATTTTGCTGTTTTCTGCCCCAGCAGAGTTGGGGATTAGGACTAGGAATTTGGGGGGCCACTTGCTGACTGAAGCCACAAGTCACCCCCCTCAAAGCCAGCATCTAGAAATGGAGATGGGTGCCCTACAGCTTCCCAAGGAGCAATGAGGGGCCCCTTGTATCACAGAAGCATCCATGCTCAGTAGCAGCTCCCCAAGATGTAGCGAATCCCAAGGAGCACCTCTTAGGACCCTCCTGCTAAGTACCAGGTGCCGGGGTGCCTGCCCCCAAAGCTATACATTTTGAGTGAGCCCGAAATCTCAAACTGCCTGGGCATGGGTGAAGCCTCCTGGAAAGGGTACTACCTATAGACTATGCCTTGTAGTTGATAGTTTTAAATTGCATTTGCCATTTTCCTTTGCTTTCTTTTCCTTTGCTTTTTGTAATAAATCTGGCCTTTGTGTTTATACAGCTGGCAAGAAGGGGGGGGGTTCATTATGTGGGACACCCCAGCCAAATTCAGTGATCCCAGATTTCTGGGTGGGGGCTTGAGCAACAGTGAAAATTTTTTGGGTACTCCAAAATTTGAACCTGGCCCTTGTGCTTGACCAGTGCCTGGTAGAGAATGTCAGAAGCTAGGCATCCTTTCAATGCATGCTCAATGACATTGTTGTACATTCATTTGAGGTCTTAGCCCTTTTTCATAATAAAGAGTATAGAAATGTGTTTTTAAAAGTGCACCTCTTTTAAATTTATCCATATGAATGGATTTTGCCAGTTTTGATTACTTGGTTGATAATTTTTAGATAATTACTTACAGTGGTCTCTTCTTTGCCAGACAGTGGTCTCTTTGCCATAATAGTGGCAATTCTTTGCAATACAGTAGTCTCTTTGCCATAATACCAACTCATATTTTTCAAACATATATTCAGTAGTTTTAGAATTGCTAGACATAAAACCTTCAACAAAACAGCCATTAGCAAGTGTCTAGATGTGAATGCTAAATCAACTGTAGGGAGACCATATTGAACAATCCTGTTCTTTCTGTTCTTGGGCCTTGGGTTTGGAAAACTCTTGGAA